AGAAGGAAGTACGTAAAAATGGAGAAAGGAAGAATGAAGAAGGGAAGAGGAAGGAGGAATAGGGGGCAGAGAAAAAGAAAGAATGAGGAGAACGAAGAAGGAAAGACAAAAGGAAAACAACAGGAAATAAAACATACACGGAAAAACAACGAAGAAGACAATACAGGATTCCAGGTAACAAAAGATAAATATTAGGGCTTACATGTAAATGTACGCTGATGATAATCATTATAACCATTATTGTTGATGGTTACCAAAATATAGAATTGAAAGAATATATTAAGAATATAATGTATTTAGAATATATATTTAATGTTAGTAATAGTAGGGATGATGATGACTATATTAATGTTGTTATTGTGGATATCAATGAAAATAATGATAACAATGATAATAAAAATGGTAATGATAACGAAGATAATATTGATTATAATAATAATAGTAATTATAACAATGATAATTATTATTATCAGAATATCAATAAAAATGATGATTGTAGTAAATAATTATAATAATGATTATGATGATCATGATAATGATAATAACACTAATAATAATAGCTGTAATCATAATGATAACAATGAGGATAATATCAATCGTAATCATATTAATGATAAGATTGATTTCAAGATAATTATAGTGATAATAACAATGATAATAATGACCATGATAATAATGATAATAATGACCCTAATAATAATGGTAATAACAATAACAATATTATGTCTGTAACATCAAAAACACTACTAATGTTTATAGTAACAGTAACAATAATAATAGTGATCATAATGATTAGCATAAGAATAATCATCACAGTGATGATAAGACTGATAGTAAAAGTGATGAGGATAAGAGTAATAATGATAAAAATAAGGATAATAATAATAATAATGATAGTACTGATAATGATAGCAATAGTGGCAGTGATAGTAAAAATAATGATAATCATAATAATGATCACGATAACTATAATCGTAATCATTATGGTAATGATATAATTGAGAATAATAATAGTAACAGTATCGATAATAACGATGGTACAATGGTAATAATAATAATGACAAAGATAACAATAATAATGGTGATAATAATAATAATGATAATAGTAATGATAAAGATAATGACATGAAAAAAACAACAATGAAAATGATAATGATGATAACTATAATGATAATGATGATAATAATGATGATAATGATTGTAATAGTGATAATAATGATAGAATCCTAATAATAATGACAATAATAATGATATAATGATAATAAAATTGATGAAATAATGAGAAACTGCTAACAGTGACAACGATACAGTTTAAAATGATGATAACATAACTGAACAGTAGCAAAATAACAAGTAAAACAAACTCAGACAAAACTCACTACAACAGAAATCAGTACTTTTTTTACCTGCTGCTGTATTTCGAACAAGCATAAAGGACTGCACCAATGAAATCGCTCGTGAGAAATACGTTGGGACAAGTGTTTATATAATTATTTGTATTGTTATTATTACAAATGTTGTGTCTGCGATTGTCGCAAAACATTTTTTCATCCTTTCAACTATCATTGTTATTGACATCATTGTTGTTATCAATTATTCTATTCTATTAATTCTATCGTTCTGATTGTTGTTATTATTGTTCCTGGTGTTGTTCTTGTGATTCTTATCATTATTATTACCAATCTCATTAATAGAAATACTACTCTTACTTTCTTTTAATAACGATAATTGTTATTATTAGCATTACTCTTTTTTACATTATCATCTTTATCATTATCAATCAAAAACATTGTTATTATTATCATTATGAAGACTGTTGTTACTATTATCATTATCATTATTATCCTCATCGTCGTTGTTATCATTATCATTGTTAACATTATTATCGTTACTGCCATTCTTATTACCATTATCAGATTTGATAAAAAAGAAAATATTTACACTGGAAATAAAAAGAGAATATATATATATATATATATATATATATATATATATATATATATACATATATACATATATATATATATATATATACATATATATGCATATATATATGTATATATATATTTATATATATATATATATATATATATATATATATATATATATATATATATACATATATATACATACACACACACACACACACACACACACATATATATTTATGTATATACATATACACCCACCCATGCACACACACACACACACACATAAATGAATATATATATATATATATATATATATATATATATATATATATATATATATATATGTATGTATTTATATGTATATATGTATGTATATATGTATATATATGAATGCATGTATGTATGTATAAAGAAAAAGAAATAGCATTAGAAGACAAAGAGGCATGTGCAGCCTGGACTCACCCTGTATCCTCCAAGGTGTTTGACTAAGCAGGTGAATTTCGCGTCCCTTCCCCTCGCCACTGTCACGTTGCTCACGGGGGCGGCGAACTGAGGGGAAAAGCACACAG